TACTTGCTTCTTCCTGATCTTCATCTTCAATTGAAAGCATTGATAGGTCTTGAATGGTGCTGTCCACAAGCATATCGCTTGGTTCTTTCGTGTGCTCATCTCCCTCTTTCGTGCTTACAACAGGTACTGACTCTTCGTGATCTTCTGAAGTCTATAGACATCAGATATTATATGAGTCCTTAGAGCAAAAGAGTCTATACCTTTTACACGAACATTTGCGAGAAATTGACGAATCTTGTACTCAGAGCCTGCGTTACGTTCGCCGCAGACAGAAAGTAAGTGACGCGGACTCTGGGTAAGAGATTGGAAAATTATTTGACTGAATCAAAACATGCGTGCGGGGAATGAGAGATCCTTCAAGCAGATAAATAAATAGTTAAACTTACTTTCATTTCGTGTTCTCCAGTTCTTTTCAACTGGTAGTGACGCTTTCTACAGCTTGAACAAAGAACTGGAAGAGATGAAGATATAATCTGTTGCAGCTTAGACGATAACTTGAATGCCAGAAAGAACGCTGTTAATTATTTGTATATATATAGCATCAACGTTGTTTGATAACAGCCACTGTTTGTTCTATGTATTAACATTACAATTCATGGTYATGATAGGTTAGGTATGTTTTTATTTTACGGCCTGACTCATCTATTTAAGATTGAAATTTGATTTTTTGTTTACAAATCACAATACTTTTGCATTATAAGTTTACTCCGGTGTACAAAGAAATGATATATATTGCCGTCTTTTTGCCTAGTGTAGAAGCTTTATACCTCATCATTACATTAGATATGTTCTTCATTTTGAATGTCGAAGTAGATTATGCTATAAAGTACCCACCCTTCCCCGCCCCCCAAGCCCCATCGTCTCCGCGGTCGCTGTCTTTGCATTATAAAATATCAATAATAACAATAACGATAACGATAACATACGCATTATCAACATACAAGCATTCAATTATGTTTAATTATGTTTATAAAATAACTGTTATGATTGATTTGGAGCGCGTGCTTTAAGGTGACTGCCTACTTTTGGAATCTTATTTAAACTTTTTTTTAAACTTCGATTTTCCGAATTRAAATTTAATGCTGATTCCAAATCTGGAAAGAAAAATAGGGTGTCCCGAGCACGTTTTCGAGATAATCAGCATTTAATGGAAGCCTACGCACGAGCTTTTGGAGTAAAAATTGCGCCACCGGAAGTGATTAGAAAAAAATTAAGATGAATAAGATAATAGTTATTTGCAGACTAAATGATTGCACGAATGAAGGCTAGTCAATCATTTTACAATAATACGTGGATAGTTTCGACAAAAAAAACAAAGGGATACATTGATTTGTCATATTTTGTAGTTTCGGTGCTCTTAAAAAATCTCATAAAGTCGAACACAAATCCCTACAAAAATCTATTTTTTCATGTGTTACTGATTTAAACTTTTTCTAAAATGTTGATATAACCTAGTTTTATAGGAGTTTTTTTCGAATGAGCTATTAAAAAATAGAGTCCCGTGCAATATTTGAGGGTTTTGCCCTGTTGAATCTCAAAACGCGTATGGTTCTTCAATAAAATCTTGTAGATTTTTCAGCGGTTTTCGAGCGCGCGCTCATCGTGGGCTCAATTTGAACGTTCAAAAGTAGGCAGCCACTTTCCGTTGCGTCATTCCAATCTATCACTGTAATTTGTATTTTATAAAAGAAATAAAAAACTTGCTTGCTGTGCTGTGTGCAGTCATAAAGTACTTGGGGGTTGGCAGAACACTCGAGAAGTGTCGAGAAGCACTCCGCTGCGCGTCGTGCTTCTCCTAACACTTCTCTCGTGTTCTGTCAACCCCGCGTGCTTTATGACAGCACACAGCACGCGCGCGCGTTTTCTATTTCTTCAATATTTCAGCCTTAAGACCACCGAAGCACACGCGTACAAATTGCCAAAACAGATTGATATGTTTTGTGACAGCTTGCATGCATCCTTCTCATCAATTCGGTGTCTCTAAATATTTCATTTTTGTAGTGAAGACTTACCTGCTCCAATAGGAATGATTTGATTTTCGAACTTTAGAAGACTTCGCGACATTTCTAAATTAATGCGACGTGGATTCACCTCTTTCTTTCGCTTACCAACGTGTTTGCTATGAAAGCAAGAATGCCGTTTTCTTCCATCCCATCCGACAGTAAATTGATGACGATGTCTAGGACAAACTGTTAATWTTAGAACTTCTTCTTCACTGCAAAATATCAATCCGGCACGATTCAACAGGACATCGACTTC